GGACAGCGCCCAGGCCCAGAGTTCAAGCCCCACGACCAACCCAAAAAAAAAAGTCTCATTTTGTTCTCTTGCTTGCATGTCTTTAGAAGATAAGACAAACATAATTTCTATCCACGTGCTTCTAAAGGGAAGGCATGCCTTCCCTGTCCCCCTCAGCTCCTTTCAAGATTTTCTGTCTTTTCTGTAGTTTGAGTCTTAGTTAGGTCACCACACATAGACTCTTAATTTTTCTGTTTTTGCCAAGCCTCCTACTTGGTTTTCTTTTTTTTTTTTTTCTCGGTTGTGGGGTCTGAACTCTGGGCCTGGGCGCTGTCCCTCAGCTCTTCAGCTCAAGGCTAGTGCTCTACCACTTGAGCCCTAGCCCCCTTCCGGCTTTTTCTGCTTATGTGGTGCTGAGGAATCGAACCCAGGGCCTCATGCATGCAAGGCAAGCGCTCTACCACTGAGCCACCTTCCCAGCCCCCCCTACTTGGTTTTCTCTGAGATACCCTATCTGGTTTTCCATTTGTTCAGCTTTAGAACTTTCTCGTGGTAATCACTTCTTCTGTTGCTTTCTCTCTCCCTCTAGTATTTCTACTACAAATTTGCTACATCTGTAGTAATTATCCCAAAGTTCCATATCGTTTGTCTTTTTCCCTCTTCGCATCAGTCTGGGAAGGTCCTATGGCTATGCATCCCAGCTCACTGGCTATTTCTTCCAGTGTGTTTAGTCGTAGATATACCGATCACGGCATTCCTCGTATTTTTGTGGGATTTTGTTGTTCCTGGCATTTGTTTTGCATCTTGGGGCGATGCTGTCCCCTCCCTCTGCAGACCTGGGCACTGCTGTGGAAACGGTGCCCTGCCCTCAGAACCCTTCTGGTCTTCATCACAGTCCCTTCTGGTTCCTCGTCCTGGCAGCGCCCACAGTGTGTCCCCACTCCAGGTCACATGCTGCTTTTGCCCCCACTACGCTGTGGTGGTGGGTGGTAGATGTGGGTAGTGTGGTGCTATGTCTTATATTTTTGTTTGTTTTGTAGAAAACCAGACATAATGTATCAGGTAGAAGATTCTGAAGTAGATAGGCCTTCAGTGCCAGGTTCTGTCTTTACCTGGTAGAGGGTTAGGCTGTATTTCTGTTTGATTTAATAGTTATAATTTTATCCACTTTTCGAATGCCCTTGTTTTTGTCTCCTTCATGTGTTTGGTTTCTCCTAGGCACTTCTTAAATAGGGTCTGACTTTCAGGCCCTTTTTTCTCTATTTCCTGTTATACAGGTGCCCTACTCATGTGACTGGGGGGAGGGAAAGAAGTGTTCTGTAGTCCTCTAAAATGAGTCGGTGCCCTTGCCTGTGACCTTCACAACTACTCCTCAGTTCCTCCTCCCCACTTGAAGTAATGCAAAAGGCTAGAAGAGGCTGAAGTTGTTTTTCCTTCTTACCAGGTTGGTAAGTCCTTTAAGAATAGAATTGCTGAGTATGTTTACCACCCCCTACCCCCCCCGCCCATGGTCTTGGTACTTGAGCTCGGGGTTTGGCATCACTTGGCTTTATTAGAGATAAGAATCTCATGGACTTTCCTGCTTTGAACCACGATCCTCAGATCTCAGCCTCCTGAGTAGCTAGCATCACAGGAGTGAGCCACCAGCGCCCAGCTCTGAGTATGCTTTTAAATGGCTGCCTTCTCTCCTCCGACCAGCAGCACAAGGAGATTTCTCTCCTCTTACTTTGAGAGCCTGTTAGGGATCTTGAAAACAATGTCCACAAATGTCTTACTCCCCTAACTATGGCTCTCAACCTTTTTCACATTGAACCTCTAATAACTCATTAACTATACTGTACACTTTTTTACCCTAGTTCTTAGCTCTGGGTCACTTGCTGGTCTGGTAAGGTGTGGTTGTCTGTGTCCACCTGTTGCTATCTCTGGCTTGTCCTGTGATCATCTGATGCATCTAAAGAGAATTGCTGGCTTTATTTGTTTAGCTTTTGCTTTGTGTTGACTAAAACAATAACTTCTGACTTTCTTCTGGCCTAGAAACTAGAAGTTCTATTTTTAATTTTTTTTGGAAGGTTAGCCAGTTTCTAGTATACTCAATAATCCACCCTTTCCTGCTATTTGAAAGGCAACATTATCATATGAAATGGTCCTTTATTTCACTTTCTTTCCTCCTTTTTATTATGTGTGAACATGCACACATTCCTACACTCGGCTTGGGGATTGTTGTAGAAACCTTCACAGACATTAAAATCCTCAGTGTCAGTCTCTTACATAAAGGCCTTGCATGTCCTCGAATCTGCGCCCCTCCTTCTGTGTGCCTCATGCCCTCTGGATGACTTGCAGTACTAATGCAGTGCATGCACTGTATGCATGAGACTCTGCCACGTTATTGGGGAGCAACAAGAAACCAAGTTTGTATGGATGAGTACAGACGTAATTAAAAAAAAATTTGGTCTGCAAATGCTTGAATCCACATATATGGCACCAGCAAATACAGAGGGTCAGCTGCCTGCGTGATTAGGAATTCTCCAGCCTTTCTTAGGTCCATACATACAAAAGTCCTAAATGAAGGTTTATCTAATGAAATCGAGCCCTGTGGTAAAGAAGAACTTGTGACCAAATAAGCTGTGTTCATTCTAAGACGGCAAGTATACATAAGCTATCCTTGGAACGCAACTAAATTAGCGGTATCTTCCATGGGTGCCAAAAAAAATGCTTGACAAAATTTAGGGGCGGGGAGGGAAGGAATAGCCTGAGAATGGAGTTCTGTGGTAGAACTGATGATTCGTGTGTATGAGGCCTTGGGTCTCACTGCTCAAATAAACACGTAAGATTCCAAGACAGGGACCCAGAGGTTTTTCTTTGTTGTTGTTTCTAATGTACCTCATGATTTCTTCTTTTTTTGGGGGGGGGTCCGGTCATGGGATCTGAACTCTGAGCCTGGGCGCTGTCCTTCAGCTCTTCAGCTCAAGGCTAGCGCTCTACCACTTGAGCCACAGCCCCACTTCTGGCTTTTTTCTTTTTGCTTATGTGGTGCTGAGGAATCGAACCCAGGGCCTCAGGCATGCAAGGCAAGCGCTCTACCACTGAGCCACCTTCCCAGCCCATGTACCTCATGATTTCTTGTTTTTTTTTTTTGTATTTGTCCCTCTATAATTTACCTCCTGTTTTCTCTGTATTTGATTTTGGTACCCTGGTATTGTACATACATTTATCTGAATTAGGGAAAGGAAAGGGAACAACAAAATGGCGAGACAAAGGACAAAGGGGGAACCAATGCAGCAGTGATACTCACCAGACACTATGTTGGAAATGATCTGTACAACTTTGTGGGTGGGAGGTTGGGAAACTGAAAGTAACATGAGAGACAGGGTAACAAGTTTGATGAGAAATGTACTCACTACCTTACTTATGTAGCTGTAACCCCTCTGTACATCACCTTGACAATAAAATTTAAAAAAAAAAGCTTGACAAAGCTCATCAATAAGTTCTTAGCAGAAAGAATAGACCACAGTTTTACTGGTTTAGGTAGATAAGCATCTATTTTAGAACTATTTGTTGACCCACCTTTGGCTGGAATGAAGCCCGCCGTGGATGCGTAGGTGGGTGGAGTACACAAAACCCATCTTGTGACGTTTTATGTGGCCCTGATGGCCACATAGGCTGGTCACCTATAAGCTGGAAAGCTAATTACAGTGCTTTCTCTCAGAGACCCTGCGACCTTACCCAATCTTAGGTTCACTTTGATTGCCCCTTACTCATGGCTAACTGCTACCTGTCATTCCCCTCTTTAGGGCTTGAGATGCTAAAATATTTTAGAGAATGGGAAGTGGAAATCAGTCTTTAGCCTCTTCCTACTGGTATGGGGTTTAGGCTCAGCAGCAGTGTCTTAGCCTGGTTCTCTGTAGATGGAGCAGCAGCCATCTCCAGTCCCAGCTGACCAGAGGACCCCGGTGACAGGCACAGCCAGTGGTAGTTGCTCTTGAGAAGTAGTTTAGTAGAGTTAGCCATTAAGGTGCTATTACTTGTGCTGGGTGCTGGTGGCTCACACCTGTAATCCTAGATACTCAGGAGGCTGAGATCTGAGGATCATGGTTTAAAGCCAGCCTGGGCAGAAAAGTCTATGAGACTCATCTCCAATTAACCACCAGAAAACCGGAAGTGGAGCTGGAGCTGTGGCTCAAGGTGGTAGAGCGCTAGCCTTGAGCACCAAGGTCCTGGTTTTGGTTTTGGTTTTCCAGGTATGAGCAAAATAAATGAACAAATCTAAGGGAAACTTGCATTGTCTAATTAGACTTGATGTCGCTCTCTCTCTTTCTCTCTCTCTTACACACACACACACACACACACACACACACACACATACACCTTCCTCCTTACTCATCCCAACAGCATCCCTGCCCCTCACCCCTGCTTGGAACCCACCCACTCACCACTGGCCAATGTGGGCACCCTTTTGAGCTCAAGCTCCCTTTTCCCCTTGGGTAGCGCCCTGGCTCAGGGCAATGAACTTAATTCATAGACAAGTAACTATCTGAAGAATGTGGCTTCTTTTTCACAGGACTGGTAAGTTGCAGAAATATGTTCTAGTACCGTTCAGAGGACTTGTACCCCAGGTTCGTGCCGATCCGGAGAAACTCAGGGTTACACTTCCTGCCTGCCTCCTCCGCTGTGGTGAGGGTATACTGCTGCCCGTGACTCTGGGTTACGTGTGCACACTTTCTTTCTGTGGTCCCTTGCACAGGGACAGTTACCCTGTAGTGGTCTGCTGCCTGTAGAGCACTAGAGGTGGCTAAGAGCAGGCAGGGCAGGTGCTGCGAGCTGCCCCCACTTGAACGGGCCCAGCTTTCCCCAGGGAAACAAGCATATCTTTTTTTTTTTTTTTGGGTCCGGTCATGGGGCCTGAACTCTGGGCCTGGGCACTGTCCCTCAGCTCAAGGCTAGCGCTCTACCACTTGAGTCATAGCGCCACTTCCGGGTTTTTTCTTGAAACAAGCATATCTAACCTGCAGCTTTTTCTCCCCAGTTCTCTTCAGCTCCTTCCACTGCCATGAAGATCGCAGTGATTGGGCAGAGCCTGTTTGGCCAGGAGGTCTACTGCCACCTGAGGAAGGAGGGCCACGAGGTGGTGGGCGTGTTCACCATCCCAGACAAAGATGGGAAGGCAGACCCCCTGGGTGAGTGAATAGCCCAGGGCAGGCAGGGGATGCAGGGCCTGACTGTCTGGGCAGATGGGCAGCAGTGGGAAGTGGCCTTGCGATGGGGCCTTGGCTGGAAGGCAGCCATCTTCTACCTTTATTCTGAGTCTGCTCCAGTGCCAGCTGCTCCTGGGTCTTTTCTACAATAAAGTGGCAATCCCCTCCCCTTCTGACTTCGGGGTGAAGTCTGTGTCCTCACAAAAGCCCTGGAGAGCCCCCCCGTTCAAGCTTCCCTGACTCAGTATTCAGGCTCTGAAACGGTCTCGGGGTCAGAATTCTCAAAGGTGGATATACCCCATACTATTATTCCCAGTGTCTGTTGAAACCGAGTGCTGAGCCCCGCGATGCAGTAGAAGGGGTCGGCACTGGGAGGCTTTAGTTCTGATGAGCTCCTAGGTGGGGCTGGTGCCCTGTGCTAGTTTTGAGTGGGAGCCTGCGTGGAGGAACAGACCCTCCAGGCACACTTGCTACTCTTTAGCTTGTGGGGCAGGACTTGAGGAGGGACCTTTGATGTAGGGAGCGGGGCTTATAGGTGTGACCAGGTACAGAGCTGTGGCTTACAATGAAAAGCGAGACTCCTCTACTCTACTCCAGCACCACCAGTGCCATTCAGGGCCCTGGTCCTGCAGCTGACCAGTGTGACCCCTCATAGGCCCTGCTCACCACATCCCGAGCCCTGCAGGCTGACTCCAGAGAACCACCAGCTGTCCCTCCCAGACCCAGACCCAGCGTGGTGAGACTTCTACTTGACTGTGGCTCTGATGTCCTGCAGAAGTATTTCATTGGCCACGGTGGTACCACTCTTTAAAGTACCCTTCCTCCCAGCCATCGGACACCACAGCACAGTGCCAGAGAAAGGGCTCAGGCCAGTCAGGGCAGATGGCATGTCAGATGCTGACTGAGCATTGAAATCCAAGAAGCATTCATTAGGTAGTGAAGAGGGCCCAGCGGTGTCAAGGTAGTGGCTGCTGCACTGGAGGTATGACTGCAGATGTGGCCAGGTTTGAGTATAGGTAGTGGGACTGCAGGCAGGCCCAGGCTGGGAATGGGAGGCGGAGTGCAGAGAGCTCCAGGGCTGGGAACCGGAGGCGGAGTGCAGGCCTGTGAGAGGTGTGCCGCTCACCCCAACAGCATGAGTCCTGCAGCCTGGGACTGGGCCTCAGGCACAGCAGGGGAGGTGCATTGAGATGAGCTGCAGATGTGGGGAGAGACGTCCGTTGCAGCTCTGGAAAGGAATGGCACCCAGGGTGAAGCATCATAGTTGGGGTGATGGTCAGAGGACTGGACCCAATGAAAGGACCAAGCCCCTTCCTTCACTTTCCCCATCCTCCCTCCATGCTCCCTCTGGTCAGGGAAGGGCTGACAAAGCAGGAGTGGAATTCACACAGCTGCAGGCCTCCACCACAGAGAGCTGGGGCTGGGCAGACAGCCGTTTAGTGCTGGCCATGGCAAGGCCTCAGGACAGGGTAGGTGAACAGGGGTCCAGGTGGTACCTGAAAGAGCGGGGGTCCCTAGAGGTCTTTGTGCCCAGCCTAAGACATGTCCAGGTGAGGAGACCCTGAAGACTCACCTGTGGCCAGTTCCAGCCCCGCTGCGCTGCCTGCCTGGTCCTGGCTGGGCGGTCAGAGCAGGGAGGGAAAGGCATAGAAAGAGGGTTCCGGAGCTACTTAGCTGGGCAGTGGGTGTGGCAGTGTGTGAATGGCTGGTAAAAAATGGGGGGCTGGTTTGTTTTTTTTTGTTGGTTGTGGGGTTTGAGCTCTGGGCCTGGGTGCTGTCCCTCAGCTCTTCAGCTCAAGGCAAGCGCTCTACCGCTTGAGCCACAGCACCACTTCTGGTTTTCTAGTAGTTTTTGGAGATAAGAGTCTCATGGACTTTCTTGCCCAGGCTGGCTTTTAGCTGCAATCCTCAGATCTGTCTCTGAGTGGCTAGGCTTACAGGTGTGAGCCACCGGCACCTGGCAAGGGCTGGTTTCTTAACTGCTCTCCCCCAGGTCTGGAGGCTGAGAAGGATGGAGTGCCGGTGTTCAAATTCCCCCGCTGGCGGGCACGAGGACAGGCTCTTCCTGATGTAGTGGCCAAGTACCAGGCTTTGGGTGCTGAGCTCAACGTCCTGCCCTTCTGCAGCCAGTTCATCCCCATGGAGGTGATCAATGCCCCCCGTCATGGCTCCATCATCTACCACCCATCTCTACTGCCCAGGCATAGAGGGGCTTCTGCCATCAACTGGTGAGTTGGGACAAACACTGGGGATCTACCCTCAAATACTTCCTGCCCCTGCATCTGCCAAGTTACGATCCCCCCTCTTGGGGGCTATAAAGGGCTACCCAGGATCCCAGGTCTTTGGTGTTTACCACTTCATGTATGAGCCTCAGTTTCCTAATCTACAAAATGGACATACCATACTCATTCATGACCTTATGGGGATTAAGTTACATAAAGCATCTAGAGCTTTTAGCACAAAATCTGGCACATTGTTGGTTACTAATAAACGTTCTTCTTTCCCCTTCCCGTGGACGCAGCTATCGCTCCTCTTTGGGGACAGAGGGGACTGTTAGAGAGTGAAGAAGTCACAGTGTGGCACCAGAGCATCTTTCTTGGTGCCCCTTCCTTTGGACTCAGGACTTCACTCTTGTGCTTCTAGGACCCTTATTCATGGAGATAAGAAAGGGGGCTTTACCATCTTCTGGGCCGATGATGGTCTGGACACGGGGGATCTTCTACTCCAGAAGGAGTGTGAGGTGCTCCCCGATGACACCGTGAGCACCTTGTACAACCGCTTCCTCTTTCCCGAAGGCGTCAAAGGGATGGTAAGGCTGAGACCTGGCCACAGCTGCTTCTTCTTCTGTTGCACAGTACCACAGGCCTCTGCATCCCAGGCCTTCTCTCAGCTCTGCCTGCCTTCCCTAGAGAAGGCACTTGTCTTGATCTGGCCAGGAACCTGTTCCCCAAATTCCAGGATTCTGGAAAGAAAGGAGCTATCACTTTAGGGTGTCAAAGAGATGGGATTAGGTCTAAATTAGAGAGTCTTGTTCACAACTGATAGAACCCAACTCAAAGCAATTTAGCCAGTGGGAGAGGCACATTCAGTGACACTAACGGCAAGATGAGGTTAAATGTGAATGAGTCCAAAACTTAAGGTGCACTGCCAGAAGTCTGTTTCCCTGTTTCTTTAGTCTTTGATTCTGCTTTTTTCTATTTGATTAATTTCATCTTCAGATTGAGTGCCTGGAATAAGAGGATAGTGACTAGTAGCTTAAACCTTTTAAACCTGTTAAACCATTTTTTAATGTTTTTTATTTATTGTCCTTTATTTTAAATTTCAAAGTATTTATTATTATCTTTAAGTAGTTGTACAGAGGAGTTGCCATTCAATAAAGCAGTTGCGAATACAATGCACTTTGATCAGTGTCACCCCTTTCAACATTCTCACCTGAAACTTGTAGTTTAAAACTTCTAGTTCTTCATTTCTGTGGGAAGACAAACCCTCTTTCTCCTAGAATCTAGTGAAATATCAAGGAAAGCTGATTGATCAATTTTGGGTCATGTGATTAGCCTCACTCAACCTCTGCCAAGGGCAATGAAGTCCTTTGATTGGCTCCCTTGTGGCATGCTTGCCTATTATGGCCAAATTGGGGAACAATGGCCAGCACAGTTGGAGTGAGGGGTTTGAGTCTCTATGGGAGAATCTGTCACCAAAGACAGAGGGCAGAGCTTCAGAAAAACGGAAAATATATATGTTGGGATAGTTAACCTTTGATGAATGGACAGGCCCCAAGGACCTGACTCTGCAGTGGCTGGGCAGGTCTAGACTTGAGTGTGTGTGCAGGCCACTGTCGCTCTAGCAGGAAAGAGACTGGGGAGGACCAAAAAGCAGGGTGACATGCCCGCCAGGAGTTGGATAGGTTTCCAGGAGAGATTTGCACAGGTGCTGACTGCAGCACAGATGTCAACAGTCCCCTGCCCTTGGCCCTGTTGCCATTGATTGTCTTTATTTTTCAATTGTGTTTAACTAGATCCCTCTTTGTATTTCCCCATGGGATTATTTGCTCACAAAAGTAATGAGAAAAATCAGCTGGGCACCAGTGGCTCATGCCTGTAATCCTAGCTACTCAGGAGGCTGAGATCTGAGGATCACAGTTCAAAGCCAGCCCAGGCAGGAAACGCCGTGAACCTCTTATCTCCAATAAACCACCAGTAAACCGGAAGTGGTGCTGTGGCTCACATGGTAGAGCTCTAGCCTTGAGCTGAAGAGCTGAGGGACAGCACCCAGGCCCAGAATTCAAGTCCCACAACCGACCAAAAAGAAAGAAAAAAAGTAATGAGCAAAATCACCTTGCTGGAGCTTCACACAAAACACAGATAAAGTAAACAGCTCAAATATCCATTCAACATGATGGCCACTGATCATACCCATGTGTCTATTTAAAGTAATTACAATTCACAGTAACAGGTGTGGAGATGTGACTCAGAGATAAACACTTTCCTAGTATGCAGGAAGTCCTAGGTTCCAGCCCTGGCGCCACCATTACCACTACATTCAACACCTCAGTTTCATTAGCTGTGTTTGAAGTCCTTGGTAATTCCACATGGTTCCTGGCCACTCTGTTGGACCATGCAAACACAGAACGCATCTGTGACTGAGGAGCATCCCATCAGTAAGCAGTTCCTGGTGTCAACCACTTGGGCATACTCTCATTTCAGCCTTTCCCAACCACCTTCCTCTTTCCTTCTACAAAGAAACAGCATCGTGCCAGACCTTCAAACTTAATGCCTCCAAATCCACCTCAGGGTCAGGGTCCATCCTCCTTACAAGGTGGAGAGGACTTAGAATGAAATGTGTGGCTCTGCTCCCTGTACGGGGCTTTATAGCCTGTCTAATCTAGAGCTCTCAGGAACAGAGAGATCCATGTGGAGCTAGCAGGGTTGTGCCCACTGCTCACAGTGAAGTTAGTCAGGTTCCTTCCATGTGCTTGTGGCTATGACCCATGTCTCGGCAGGGCTGGGCATGAGGGCGGGCCCTGCAGCTGGGTGTACTGACTGGCGGGTTTCCTGTCCAGGTGCAGGCTGTGAGGCTGATCGCCGAGGGCAAAGCCCCCCGATTCCCTCAGCCTGAGGAAGGAGCTACCTATGAAGGAATTCAGAAGAAGGAAACAGCCAAGGTGAGTGCACAGCCCTGCCCACCTGAGCATGTCTGTATGTGGCTGAGGGTGCAGGCAGTGTTTGGGGCCCAGGCCAGTACTGCAGGAGCAGGACCAGAACAGGGTCCTTCCTGGTCCCTGGTTCTTCCCCAGGCAGGCAGTGCCCCCAGGGAGGGAGGAGAGCTGGGGCAGGGGTAAGTATCGGTCCAGCGTCTCCAAGATAAAGTAGGAGAGATAGTAGTTTCTTAGAACTGTAGTGAGTAGGGGAGATTTGGGGGCCAGCAGGCTGTTTCTTCTTGGGGGTTGTCATATGCTGTATGTGGATCTCCATAGCCAAGGAAACATGATTGTGAGGTCCTGTGGGGGGGACCTGAGAACTTCATTGTGGGACTTTGTGGGGCACTGGGCTGCTCAACAAGAATAGGTTGAGCTCTTACCAAATGCTGTCTGCAGACTACCCAGCTTGTGAGAGACTAACCAGGGAATCAGGCCAGGGTCCAAGAGGAAGCCCAGCAGGGGTGGGCCCACTATCCAGGGGCAGTGGGGATGTGGGGGAGGGGCTGGGGGGACTGGTGAGGACATGCATCCTGCTCTCCACAGATCGACTGGGCGCAGCCAGCAGAGGCCATTCACAACTGGATCCGAGGGAATGACAAGGTGCCGGGTGCCTGGACGGAGGCCTGTGGACAGGTGTGTTCACACATGGCTGCCCTTCAGCTTGATGTGCCGGTGTGGCCTGCGACCCGTAAAACTGTCAGATGTGTTTGAAGTGCTTAGTGAAATGCCCCCTCACCCCTTGGCCCCTCCTCAGGATACAGGGATCCTGGCTATCATCCAGTGGCTGAAGGGCAGGCGTCTGGCAACACAAGCACCCACCACAATTCTGGGATCTAGATATACTGATTTGAGTCTCACCCTAAGTTCTCAGATGTCCTAGGCCCAGTTCTAACCCTTACATAGCCCTAGGCAGGGAAGGGGCATAATACCTAGGACCAGGCTGGGCAGGGGTGGGCCAGGTGTTGAAAATCAGGAGCTCTGGGGTCACAGGGCCTATAAGGCATCAAAGGGTGGAGGACCATGTGGGGGTCTAGGCCCATACCTTGAGGACAGTCCATCCTCTGCATAGCCTCAGACTGCCCAAAGCCCTGGCCCCTACTGACTGCCCAGCCTGTGTCCAGAAGTATCCACAGGCGCTGTACTGAAGCACTCCTTTTTGTATGGACAAGCGCATCTCCTCTCAGTGACTCGGACATACAGCTTGAGTTAGAGCCCCAAGTCCGCCTCGTCCTCTAGGCCTCACTTGTGCCCCCAGAGGCAAGGTCTCAGGGGCCACTTAGCCTCGTACAACTCTCCAGTCAGGGCTCCTGGGACCTGCACAGCTGTGGCGGTACAGGGCCACCATCTCCCGTTTCCTCCTCTCCACAGAAGCTGACGTTTTTCAACTCAACACTGAACACGGCAGGCCTGGTGCCTGACGGAGAAGCCTTGCCCATCCCGGGAGCCCATCGGCCAGGCGTGGTCACTAAAGCAGGACTCATCCTGTTTGGGAATGATGACAGAATGGTAATGGGATCACTATAGTCACTCGATTGTAGCGTGGGTTCAGGGTCACCCCTCTTCAGGAATGGGACTTTTGGGCCCCACAGGGAGGCCCCGGGCTTCTCTGGGGAAAAAATAGGAACCAGTAGGGGTAACCTGGTGCCAGCCTGTGACCACTGGGTCAGCCCTGAGCACAGGCCGTTCAGAGTGGGGCCTGTGCTCTTCGACCAGTGCCCCACTCAGGAAAGAGCACCTGTGTGGGTCCTCTTGGGGAGCTCTAACTTCGGGCCTTATTTCAGTCTTCCAGAATGTGATTGCTAAGCCCCAGGGCCTCAGTGTGCTTCTCCTTGAACAGGGAGCTCTAGTGACGTACACAGGTGGGTCTTTTGAGCCAACTGAGCACACGCTGTGTTCCGATCAGTATTAGCAGACTTTATCATCAATACAGCTACTAATTCTATAAAGCACCACACAATGTTTTAGAACAATTTATGTGTGTTTAGTCTTCCAAAAACTCTAGGAGATGTGTATTAACATTGTAATAATTTTACAGAGAAGAAAAAGGAAGTGCAGAGATTTGAGTAACTTGCTCCAGGTCAGAGCTAGTTGGGGGCAACGCTGGGATTCAGACCCTGAAATTTTGGCTATGGGTCCCCCTGTGTGGCCGTGATAGCCAGTCTTGGTACTGTGGACCCCTCACAGGAAACACTGGGGGTGGACAGATGGAGGACAGGCAGAGATTCCCTCGCTTTAGAGCTGGACAAACCCAGATGTGATCTTGACCATGTTGGCATTGTACAGGCCCGACAAGGGTGTGGAGGGCAAAGCTCGGGACAGATGTTGGATCCCTCCTAGTTTTCACTGGGCCATACTCTCCCCTTACAGGGTCGGCGGCTGCCACTGGTATCTGTCATGTGGAGTGGTTGGGTGTGTTAAGTCTTCATGGTCGATAAATGTAGTCTACAGAGAGTTCTGTGTAAAGTCAGGCTTCCTGGGAACAGGAAGGTGGGAATTCTCATGCCAGTGATTTATTGAGGGAACATTCCTAGAGCATAGACAGGGCATCAAGGGCAGCAGGCCAGGCAGAGGGGAAGGCTACGCAAAGCTGTGCCTGGGGATATCTGGGCTGTTTGGACTGAGATGTTTTGCTGGTTGTGCACCCTAGCAGCCTGCCCTTGGTCTCCTTGACCCTGGAGCCATGGCCTGGGACAGTGAGACATGTCCTCAGCCTTCAGCTCAGTGCTTCTTGTCAGTAGCAGGTGAGGAGGAGGGAGGTGAGGAGGTGAGGACGGACTAGTCCTGTCCAGCCCTGGTGGCAGCGAAGGCCATGGGGCTGAGAGACGGGAGCTACAGCTACCACGAGGCCCACAAGATGGCTGAACAAAGAAACAGCCTTGGTGGAGAGCCTTGGGCTCAGTCTTGCTGGGTCTGGCTGGCCTTCCACCCAATAGAAATATCTTCAGTGGCAGGTGTGTGGGGCTGGGCAGAGAACCTGGCTCTGTTCTGAGTGCTTGACATGAGCGTGCTATTCCTACAAAGCCACTCTTATCGAATGTTGCACAAGTCTGCCAAGAATTCATCTGATATGCTTTCCTGATCTCTTGGTTTTTCTCCCATCTCCTAACAAAGGCTTAAACAACTGTTTAAGAACAAACAGGCACCAAAGAAAGCGTGTGATGTATTCCTAAGCTCAGTAAGTCTGAGGCAGATACGAGAGTATTCCAGTATTCCATTACGGCCCATATTGGACAACCAGGATCAATCACCTTAACTGCAGGGCTGGACATGGGGCCTATCTGGGGCCGGCCTGAAGTGTGGTCTCCCAGGATGCAGGTGTAGGGCTTGCTAGATTCCTCTTATCCTCTCTGCTGTCCATCTCTGTGTTCAGGCAGGTATCTGTTACCTAGATATTTCTGTAGGGTTTCTGGGAGATTGTGGGATCGGATGTATTTTCGATTGACATTCCGAGTAGTTCTGGAATTATTTTTTCCTGATGAGCAGGCATCCTTTTTTTTAGAGTATAGAAATAATGAAGTCATTACACAAGGAAAGGAAACAAGAGCATGAAATGTAACTCAGTGGTAGAGCTCTTGCCTCGCGTGCTCAAAGCCCTGAGTTCCACCCCTAGCAATGCATAAACAACAACACTGGAAAGCAAATGTGGTGGGAAAGTGAGGATTGAGGAAAGGTACAGGCTGTGTTCTTCTGTGTCTATGGAGAGTGGCCTCCCACCTCTGAACGGGGCTCCTCGTAGCTGATGTGGCACTCTGCTTCCTCCTAGCTATAAGGGTTGGCGACAGAGCACGGGTGCCCAGCCCGCACTCGTGCTCATGCGGGGCTCCTCGTAGCTGATGCGGCACTCTGCTTCCTCCTAGCTATAAGGGTTGGCGACAGAGCACGGGTGCCCAGCCCGCACTCATGTGGGGCTCCTCGTAGCTGATGCGGCGCTCTGCTTCCTCCTAGCTATAAGGGTTGGAGACAGCACGGGTGCCCAGCCCGCACTTGTGCTCATGCGGG